GTGCTGGTCACCAGTGGAGGAGTTCATGTTATGCACTGCTAAAACTTTGGGTGGGGTTTGCAGTTCAAATTAAAATAAATTTGTGTTTGTTTTGTAGCATCTTGTTTGTTCTTTCTCCTTGATGATATTTTTCTTCAATATTAAGGCTTTCCTGAAAAGACTGGAAGCAGTGAAACCAACAGCTGGGTTGAGACGCTCTGAACAACTGAGGGACTATCAGCGCCAGATGAGTTATTTGAATTCTTCACCTTCTGTAAGAAGAGGTAAATCTCCTTTCACCCAGCTTAGTCCTCCAAGTAAGTACTCTGAAGTTGCAGATTATTGCATTTCTATGCGTTTATCTTTTTATAATTCAAAATTGTGAAGCACCTACTATTAAGAATAGCAAATATGTTCCTTTCTCTGTTGTCTTTAGATTGATTTATCACACAGAGATCATTTAAGTGTTTTTTTTTTTAAATCATAAATATATGATGACTGTATGCCCTCCTAGATTTCTAATAAATTATCTTGTCCAAGAAGAAAAGATCTCTGTTGGTAGTGTGTTTTGCCAGTATTGAGAATACAAGGGGGGAAAAAAACCCAACCAAAAACTACACAAAAACCTCAATGAAGATTCACATTCTCATTCAGAAAATGTAGATCTACTGATAGTAGCCCTGTTTTTCTCAAACCATGTGTGTAAGATTTGGAAGTAGATAATGTGTCCCTATAGACTCATGTATGTGGGGTTAAAGAACCACAGGCCTGGATTCTTTGTCCTGGTCATTTACAAACAACTCATAACACTTTGGGTTTGTATTAATTTACTGTAATTTGTTTGGGGTTTTTTTTGTAAACTATGGTAATGACCATTGCAGTAGTAACATATCATGAAGTTTTCTGTTATACTGAGCACAAGCATTCTCCTTTTCTGTGTGTGTTGACAGGAGGAACTTCAAGATTATCCACTGTACAAAGTACACTGGGCCAGAGAAATGAAAAGCCCATGTCTGACTTAGCCAGTGGGGTATTACAGAGACCTAAACCCACTAATGTCCGTGCTGCTTGGTTGTAAGTGTGTTCTTTGCCTCGCATTCTGATATGATCCTCAGACTTCTATTTTTAGGGCTTCTGTAAATTCTATGTGCAAAAATATTTCTGCATTGTTCGGTGATTACAATGCATTGCATTTAATATAATTGCTTATAAAATATTTTAAAGTGAACACTTTCTCTTCAGTCAGTGTTTTCCATGACAGGAAGAACTTAGGAAAGAGAGGGAGATATCTAAATGGACAAGTTAAATAGAAATTTAACTATTATTTTATTCTCAGAAGTGGAATTTGTATCCATAACATGGAAGGACAGAATTACTGCACTATAGGTGCAAGATGTAAATAAAATCTTTAAAATATTAATAATACTTTAAAATACTGCACTAAACTCAAAAGTATATGCTTCATTCCTGGATTGGCCCTGCTTTTCATGCTGGCTTTATGTAAGCCTTCTGAAATTTGTGGGTCATGTTCTTGTGACTGAAAGAATCTTTCACAGCAGTGTGAAGGGGTGCAAAGCAGATTGTGTATTCCTGCATGGTGAGCTAGAATACTGAGGCTGCAGAAGGTGATGTTTTGCCGCTCTGAAATGTTCAACACCTGGAGTATGTTTTGTACGCAAGGCTGTGTCTCCTCCGGAATTAAAAGGATTTGGGAAATTGTATTGGATTTTGGAAGATGCATTGGGACATTTGTGTAGGAAAGAAGCATCCAATATTACTTGAACAAGAGTAAAGACTGAAGTGAACAGCAATTTCAGAGTCAGCAGTAAACAAGAGTAAGTTCTAGTTATTGCTCAACCTAGAGAATAATATTAAGGCAAGGGAAATACTTCATGGCCCTGCTTTTGCAGATGCTTGCTCTTCTCAGTGGGAAGATGCAAACTTGAACTGCAGGAAACATCTTCAATATTTGACTTTGAGAATGACTACTAACCAGGATTTATAAAAAAAAAATATAATAAAAAAAAACCAGTAGAAAGCAGTCTTGTTATGCTTCTTGACCTGTTTTTAAATGTCACGTTCATACCAAATATTTGTAGTGATGTCAGATAAACTCCAGTAGCAACATCCATTTACAAGGGGAGTAAAATCCAATGGACTTGGTAATCACAAACAGTAGGTGGTGTGGTTTATTTCTATACATAAAGGCAAACTTTCAGTGAGCTTGTTTTGTAGGAATGTAGCCATATAATAGGAGCATAAATTGTGATGCTGCTGTCTGTGGATGTTGCTGAAACCTTGCTTGCTTTCCCAGCTTCTTCCCAGGAGAGATACAAGAAATCTCTATATTGTGAATAAAGAGTATTTGGTAATGCTAGGTCTTAGCCCTATGACAAGAAAAGTTTATTATTCTTTGCTAGTGCTTGCATGAGGGCCTTAGGCTTTTGGGTATTCTGCACTGTAACACACTTTTTACTTGGTCCTGTGTGATAGTTTGGCAGAGCTGCTGCACTTGGTGACCTGCAGATCAAATTTAGCTGTTTGACAATATTTGAACTTTTAACTTCAAGCAACGTTGTGGCAAACAGATTTATATTGCGATTATAAGGAACAGAACTGCTGTATTTATTTGTATTATTGTGGTAATTAAAATTACTCACTATTAAAAGATTTTTGTCCTTGAATCTGAGTATCAGAGTCACAGCTTAAATACTTCTGAGTGTTCATATGATAATTTTTTAAATTACTTTCAATCGCTTAATCTTATTTAACTTTGGTATGAAAGACTGTCAATTTTGTATGTTGTTTGTAAATCATAAGAAATAAAATATTTAACATGAATTCTCATTGCAGTGGCTTCTTTCAGAATTTTATAAATGGTATTAAGATGCAGAGGAGGTTGAATACCTTGGTACACAGAAAACCAGAAAAAACTCGGGTTTCTTAGTGCTCAAGGATTAGATGTAAGGGAATAATGATTTTGTCACAGGCTTTAGGTTGCATAGTTTGCCTGTGACCAGGTATTGCAAAGGTGTAAAAGGAATAGTATCAATTGAGTGTGACAACAGGAGTTCAAGTAGAAATTAAATTCTAATTTCCAGGCTTTCAGAGCTTAGAGCTGCAGTTTAGGTTACACTTCCAGGAAGTCTTATACTGAGTGCCTCAGACTCAGGGAAGAGCTCCTTTCTGGGGAATGGTTAAGTCACTGACAGTTTTGAACTCTGATTGCAAGTATCTTTATGGAGACTGCTGCCTGCAGTCTGTCACAGTGTATGCATTGGCATTCAAGCAGAAAGAAGGAGCCATTTACTTTTAAGTGTTTTCTGCATGTTTTCTTTCACGTGCAGCCTCTTCCCCTAATGCAATTTTCCTGCATTGATACCTCTCACTTTCCCTTTTAATAGTCTTTATTCTTCCCTCTCTGTCTTTTTTTTTCCTTTTTCTTTTCTGGAGTGCAGCTTCATTCAGTAAGTTTCTTTGCTTCCTCTTATCTTACTCATTCATAAATACATTTTCCCCCCCATCGTTTGGTACCTCTGCCTATTCCAGTCTGTCGTTGAAGTTGGTTACAGCGATGGCAGAGACAATCTTCTCTAAGACATCCAAATGCCATTTGCCACCTTATCAGTGAGCTAAATGTAAAATGGAGAGTTGGAGTGTGTTAGCAGGCTTCTCATAAGGAACCATTAGGAATGTGGAAAGGAAGGAGAAAAGGAAGAAAAGTGAAACTGGCAGCTAAAGCTTTTAAGGAAGACTAATGCACTTTGAAAACTAGTAGTAATATTTTCTTCACAAACTTAGGGTTTGATAGATTGTGACCATGGTTATTTACTATGGGAAAGAAAACAGACCAGAAATCTAGAAAAGCAGGTGCTTAAGATAGTGCCCATGAAAAAAGGGAGATGTAACAATCAGGCCAGGTTTTGTCTTGGGACAAAAAAATTTAAATTTGGTTAATTTAAAATCATTATCTTTGTTGTGTTTGTGGGTTTTTTTGACCAAATTTTCTTCAAATGCTTCTGGTCTTCAGGTGGAAAGATATTGTTTCCAGACACTGTTTAGTGGCCTGTACCTGCCTTCAGAGAAAACAGAAATGCTGGTCGAAACCTGCGGCAGACACACAGAGTCTATCACGCCAAGGGACAGAGAGCCAGAACCACCTGCATCTGACAATAAATGATTCAAATATAGAAAAGGGATAACTGGAAGGCATACATATGAAGGGGTAAAAGATGAAATTGAAATAAAAATGTATTTGATGATTACTTGCTTAGTCTTACCCTTTGGCCAGGTTCTCCAGAGAAGCTGTGGCTGCCCCAACCTTGGCTAGGTTGGATGGGGCCCTGAGCAACCTTGTCTACTGGAAGGTGTCTCTGCCTGTGGCAGGGGATTGGAACTAGATGATCTTTAAAGTCTCTTCCAACCCAAACCAAATGTTCTCATTCTATGATTCTTTTCCTGGGTGGATACATAGCAAATTTTTGTTTATATATAGCCACACTTAACAGCTGAAATGGCCTCAACTCACTTTTTCTTCTTTGCCTACTTGGACAGTCTATACTTCATTGAGTTCGCAACTCTGCAGCACCCTAAGTTAAAATCTGTATTGAGCACATTCTGATCTCACTGGTAATTAATGGCTCAGTGTGTTCATAATGGTGTAGTTGAAAGCGTAGTTATTTTAATAACTTGGGAGTATCCCACTCCAGAATACTTTTTCAAGAAAAATAAGCAGCAATGACTTCACTATTCAATGAGGACATACCTCAAAGTTAAGGATAACAAATTATCAAAGCAGCTAAGACTATGGAAGCTTATCTCTAAGATAACTAGCTGCAGTACCCTCAAACTCAATCCCCTTGGTTTTGCAATTGTAGAATTATTAATAACCACTTCACCTACCCCTTAAAGCTCTTGAAAAAACTTTGAAGAGACAGTCACTAACAGTGTGCTGATTAGCACTTCACCTCAAAAGACACGTGCTTGTAATGTGTTCAGTGTACTGAAAACAACAGGAAAAATTCATTAATATATTAATTTATTTCATTTCAGTGTAAGTTCAATTGAACCTCAGAGCAGACAACTTTTTCCTTTGTGACAATACAGGGAACTTTTGAAACACTTTATTTCCATATTCTACAAAGAATTTTTGAAAAATCAGATTATGGTTTCAACCATATAAATGTGTAATTTGTCAGTGAAGAGGCTGCAGTTAGGAACTCAGCCTGCTGCTTCAATATAGTTTATGGTTTCAGATATTTTCACTTGATATCATTAAAAAATAGAGCTTTAGAAGAAAACATGATTTTAATTCATGTTATAAATGCCATCACACTGTTGAGTAGCTAGAGACATTGTCATAAATATTTATGGTATTAAGCAATCTATTAAGAATTCACAATATTAGATTTTAGACTAGATATAGACCACCCAAGTCTTGTCTCTAGACAAAATCTATTACCTGCAATTTGAAGTATAATATATACACAGGTTCCAATACAAATGCTGGAGAAATTCTCATACAAAATGTAGCTGTGATGTAGTGGACAAGTTTTAAAGAATCGCGTCATCATCTCTGCCAGATACGTTACTCAAATTTTATTCTGTTTCCCTAGGAAATATTTTGTTGTCCATTGCATCACAAGAGAATATTTTTTAAAAAGTTGATTGAGAACAATTGAACTTCTACATTATGATGTTCAGTTTTAGACGTACTTCTTGATTTCATCATAAAGTACTAATACAAAAGCTCCGCCCATGCCTCTCAACACATTCGACCAGGCACCTTTGAAGAACGCTTTGGATCCTTCATCTTTAGCTATCTTCCTCCAGCAATCAATTGTGCCCTTATACATAATATCAGCTGTGGAAACAAACATAAAGGTCATAAGGCTCAAAGTTGTACAGCAAATATGTTTCAACTCCCCCATCTTTAAACTCACAAGGAATAAGTTTTGCCCAGAATCTAAGTAATCAATTAAGGAAAAGTAATTCCTCACATGGAAATCAAGTAATTTCTCAGTCCTTTAAGCAAACATGACAGAAATAACCAACCATGCGCTTCCCATAGGTTGTTTTTAAAGGATTCCAATGAAAAGGTCATTAGTTTTCCATAAGAGAAAAAAATACCCAGTATCTCCCATCTTATTTCAATGAAGAGATACTTTCTGCTGCCAGAACACCATAAGAGCATTTATTCTTACCTCCCTTTCGGCCAGACTGCATCATCATCCTACGTCTCACAGTATCAAAAGGGTAAGAAACCAGCCCTGCCACTGCAGTGACACTCTGGGCAATCATCCAGCTCACTACGATATGCACATTCTTTGGATCAGGCAACATACCTGTCATCAAGAACAAATGGGCAGAGTCAGAACAGAGGGAAAGGGTTGTGGGAAAGACGCCTGTGGAAGGAACAATCACCCACCAACCCCAGGAGTCAATCCAAACCCAAGGTGTCTGCTCAGAACAGCAAGTTGAGGGAGGCAGGAGTGCATGTCAGAAACACCTGTGTGTGCTCTAGCATTTCACTCTGAACTGGTGCTGAGCCAAGCCCTGCTTGTCCTTGTACTACCAAGTGCCCTAAAGTGCCTTTACTGGACGGATCTTCCCTTGCAGTCACTCCTCCATGTACTTCTTACCCTTGGCCGTGTCGTACACCCCAAAATAGGCTGCTCTGTAGATGATGATGCCCTGGACAGACACGCTAAATCCTTGATACAGGCCCCTCAAGCCATCAGACTTAAAGATCTTCACAATGCAGTCGCCCAGCCCAGAGAACTCCCTCTCTGCGGCTCCTTTGCCCACATCAGCCGCCAGCCGGGTCCTGGCGAAATCCAGCGGGTAGACGAAGCAGAGGGAGGTGGCTCCCGCGGCACCCCCAGATGCGAGGTTCCCTGCGAAGTAGCGCCAGAACTGCTTGTGCCTGTCCACTCCGCCCAGGAAAATCTGCTTGTACTTGTCCTTGAAGGCGAAGTTGAGGGCCTGGGTGGGGAAGTACCGGATGACATTGGCCAGGTTGCCTCTCCAGAAGGAGGCGATGCCTTGCTCCTTGGGGATGCGGACTATGCAGTCCACGATGCCCTTGTACTGCTTATCGGCCGTGATCTGTTTGCTGGCATGCTGGACCTGCGCGAGGGAGAAGGAGGAGAACGGGGTGGTAGAGAGAGGAGGGCACGGCAGGAGTGACCCCGCACGCTGAAGGGCATGGACGGGGCCGGCTCCGCTCCCGCCAGCCTGAGGCGGTGCTGAAAGTCCCAGGCAGCTCCCGCGTAACCGGAGCCGGCCGAGCTCCTTCCCATATTTAGTCACGCCGGGCAGTGCCCGCCGCGCCGGCACCACCTGTGGCGCGGCCCAGCCCGCCCGGCCGCCCGCCCCCCACTGCCCCCTTACCTGCAGCAGCAACTTCACTCTCTCGATGGGGGCGACAGCCGTCTTGGAGACGGCGGCGGCAATCCCGCCGGCCAGAAAGTCCTTGACGAAGCTGAGCGCTTGGTCTCCCATGCCGCGAGCCGGTCCGACACCCCCGCCCGGAGACAGGCAACGACCGCGCACTTCCCCACCCGGCCGGCCAAATAGCCCCCCGCCCCGCGCCCCCGCTCTTATACCCCGCGGCCTCTCGCGATAGGAGGAGGCGCCCCCCAGGGCGCGGTCATTGGCTGAACCCCCCCCGGACCCGCCCCCGCCGGGTCCGCGCGGGCCGGGGCCGTGAGGGGCGCGCGGCCCGGAACGTTTAAAGGGCAAATTAAAGTTATCTGGGGCTGGCGGGGAACGCGGGCTCGGAGCATGTGCCCGCTGTATTAATAGCACAGGGGGGGACGCGGGCAGCTGGCAGCAGAGCTCCAGGCCGAATTAACCGTTCCGCGCAGGCCCGAGGCAGTGGCTGGGGGCCGGTGGGAGCGAGGGGGCTTTAAGCCTTGGCTCGTGTGCGTGGAGTCCCACACAGAGGCGTGAGGGGCACACGGGTGTCCTGCTCTACGGCAGGGCTCGCCAGGGTTGAGCTGACAGCTTGGAAGGTGGTGCCGTGTTCGTGAGCATCGGTGACCAGGAATGGCTTTGGGCCTCTCGAGTCAGGGCCAGAGAGTGGCTTCGTGTTTTGTGCGCTGTGTGAACTTGCAGGCATCGAGGTTTTTAAATACCCGACGTGGTCCAGGACAGCTTTCCCAAGGAGGAGGCAACATGCCCTCCTGCACTGTACCCACGTTTCGACCCTGCAAGGTCAAACCCTCGCAAAAGTCTCAGTCAGTCCCCTGTGAAGGAGTGAGGGAGAGGAAAGGGCGCTGGGAAGCACAGATGTGACTAAGTTGCTCACACCACGTGTGAAAGAAGAATAAAGGCTGTAGTAAAATGATGCCTTCATGCACAGTCTGGTTCTTAAGGAAACAATTGAGTCTCAAACGGAGATTACATGGCTCACTCATTAGTTTCCCGATTTCACAGAATCATAAGGGTTGGAAGAGATCTTCGAGATGATCAAGTCCAATTGTCAACCCAGCATCTGTTCTTTCTGGCTGACCCCCATAAGAAAGCAAGAGCTTATGACTTGTTGGATGACTTGGTTGTGTGGAATAATTACATGAAAGGCAATGCAGCAAACTGTAGATGCATACCTAAAACTTTGCCTTAAAAAGCCATTAAGATGTGCCCCAAGGATTATGTTACACTGAGGAATTCATAAGGTGATGGGTCTGCTTTGATTTGGTAATATGGTATCAATAATGAAGATAGGATTCATCTTAATGTAGATACTAAAAGATTGGCTGTCTCTCCAGGACAGCAGATCTCTTCTTGCTAATGTGTTTGTTAGCATAAGTCAATGAGACAGTAAATTTGATCCCTCGTCTCTCTCGCCCTCTGCCACTCTTAATGTCTGTTGAGGTAGAGGCCTCTTCTCGTGAACCACAGCTCTGAGAAGTGGATGACAGCTATAACTTCCAGGAGCACCCTTTGCACCATGGTCATCCTGAGAAGATGGAGCCTGTCCCAGCTTCTAAGAAGGGGGAAAAGAGCCCCCCTGAAGAGACATTTCCCCAAGCGAGGACTGAAAGCAGGTGCAAGCAGGAAGCACAGGGGATCCCTAGAATTAGACTGTGAGTTGAGGGGAGTTTTGTTGAACATATGTGGCTGTCTCCTACCTTTGACCTTTCCTTTTTCTTCCACCATGTCTGGTGTCTCCTCTCTTCACAGGAAAGTAAATATCCCTTTAACATCTTGGGGTTTCTACTGCTGGTTTCACACCCTCATAGGCCATAGGATAGTGATGCTCACAGCTGCTGCCTGACTATCCAGACTGATAGGGTCTCCTCAGTGTGTGTGCATGCAGGTGCTGGCCAGTGCCCCACTGACTGGTGTATGGTGAGTGAGAGGTGGGAGAGTGGCAGTGGGATGCTGCTGGGGAGGGAGGGGAGTGGGGGGCCTGGAATGAGACTGGAGTGGGGGTCTGTGCTGAAAGGATCATTTGCTTTGATTTAATAGATATTTCTGTATTATTTACCCATGGCTGCCAGTACTTAGAGAAAGGAGTGCATAGCAAGTGAATTGCACTTTCTCTCCTGCTTTCACTTTTTTGAGCCTAGGTGTCTATTTTCAGGAAAGATATGGTTTCCAAACAGTTTTAACAAAAGCAGGGCTGCACCAGGACTTGTGTTGACTAAGTTGAACAAATGAAGAATAATCTTCATTTGTTTGATTTTTGTTCCAAATGTCTGGTTTGGATCTTTCCTATGTATGATAATGAGGTTTATTATGCTACCTATTGTAGAAGTTCATATGTATCCTGAGAGGAACTTACTGCTAACTCCACCAGTACCACCAGCTTGAGCATGAGCATAAGCATTTCCAGTAGCTGGAAATGTCATTAAAAAAAGGCTGAAGGGCCTTTGGCTTTTCATACAGTTAGCTGGTGTTTGTTATTAAATACTCAGAATAGTTACTGATACTTTTGTAGAGAAATGGTTAAAACAGTTCTGCAAGCTTTCCGAAATGCAAGCTTTTTGAAATATCGAAAGCCAACTTTTAAGCCTCATGTCCCTTAGATCTTTGCAGCTTTGGATGCATTATCTAGCTTTCTAGGCTGAGTTTGTGGGTGCTTTGCACTGCTGGCATAGCATAAAGACACTGGAATTTGTTGTTAAAAATTCTGAGCTAAAAATAATAACCTAGATCTACATTTTCAAGAGAGGTTAGTGACTGACTGCATTGTGCTTTGGTGTGTGAATAGGCAGCTACAGGAGATCAACTTTTCCAAAGTAGTGCATACCCTTGTTTAATTACATTTTCAAGACAGTGGGAACCCTAGCACTGAGGCTAGGCCAGACACAAAATAAAAAAGCTTTTACTCAAAAGTCAGCAGTCCGAGCCTGACAGCAGATACAACAGGGAGCACAAGGAATCAGTCAGACCATCCTGACTCCCATCATAGACAGTGGTGGCTAGACAGTGTATTGGCAAGATGCCAAGAAAAAAATATGTGGATGTTTTCAGGAAAGATTTGTAGGATTGTAGTAACTTCTCCTTGTGTAAGATTGATTTAAGGTTATGATCAGGAGGAGGAGAGTAAGAGAGCCCAAACAGGCTAAATAAGGATAAGAGTTGAGGAGAAATAACAAGGTTGCCACTGACAAAGGAATCAAGAAGAATAAAATCATGTGGGCTCTGAGTTTTGTTTTGGGCAGACGTTAGGGTGGGTAATTTTAGCTGGGTGTTGCTGTTATCTGCGTGGGAGCCAACATTGATCTGGAACAGGCGAGAACCGGACAGTAAGTGTAAGCAGCATATTGAGAAGGGAAGTGATAGTGCTGGAAATAGCAGTGGGATTCAGCATAAGGTGTGTTTGTTTATTAGAGCATGTCTGTAATGTGAGGATGAGGAGCTGGAGGAATGTCAAAACTTCAGAAGAAAACTGAGGAAGTGAATGAAAATTAATATGAAACAGATCAGAAGTAATGTTGTAACAGGACAAGCATAGGGTGTAAAAGTAGGAAGGATAAAACACTCAACATGTATGACAAGGAATAAATGTGTAGGAAGTGAGCATATTAACATTTCCTTTGGCAAGGATTTGTGCATTAAAAGTGGTTAAAGGCAGCCAGGTCTTCATTTAAACTTGGAAAAGCAGGAGGAAAAGTTAGAAGGATGTCGTAATTGGAAGGGGAGACAACCAAATGGTTGTGGATGAAGTAAAACCTGATCTCAGGTCAGCCAGGAAATTGAAGCTGAAGGCAGACTGAGGTATGTGTTTGGCAACCAGACTTCATGAGATAGGAGTGGAGAGTAAGAAACAGAGAGCCTACAATCAATCTGTGCTAGAGAAGAAAGATAAAGCAGGAGGAAGAAGGCTGAGATTGGATGGGATTTTATGTATCTGATGGGATTAAAATAATGGAAAGAGCAAATGAGAGGACATGAGGAAGGACATGGCAAGAGAGGAAAAAGATCAGAGAGGAAGAGTGGGACAGCAGAGGTCAGGGGAAAGCAATGGTTGCCTCAGACACCATCAAAGGAATAGCTCTTCCGGGGTGTAGGACACTGAGTAAGGGGTGCAGGGGAAATGAAGGAACCAGGGCAAGAAGACATACAGGTGTGTGCTATAGGGTCAGCAAGGACATCAGCGTGAAGCTTGGAAGCTTCCTTAGGAGGAGTGTGAGAAATTGTGACGAAAGGAAGCAAGTCAGCTGAAATCACAGAGGAGGGCTGATCAGGAGGAGTGGACTGGCTGGTTGACAGTTCTTCATAGGAGTGAGATATGGCTCAAAATCAGATAAAAAGTGACAAGTGAGGGCAGCCTCCATGTGAGAGTAAGGGGTGGGATGTGATGAGAAACTTAATATCTCTCTGGGAGACTGAAGCTGCAGAGGGAGAGTCAGACAAGGGCATCCAGGACATGTTGACACTGAGATTTAATAGGCCTGTGGGAAACATTTTAAGTGTATCTTCCAGCCACAGCAAGTGAAGAGAAGAAAGGGGAGTGGACTGGTCAGAAGGACAGAGTAGGAATGCAAGACGGGTTGATTGAGCAATGGTAAAGACTTGAGAGAGGGATAGAGAGAGGTAGGTGTGGCAAATGTCGTTAAGGGCAAAAAGAAGGCAGAGTAAGAGGTAGGGCTTGTTGCCTCAGGTAGATTGTTTAAGAGACAAGAAGCAGCGGCTGAAGGAATAAAAAGAGAGAGAAGAAACCAAGCTAGGTGGGGAGGGGAAACTAGAGAAGTACAGAAATAAATTGCAGCAAAAGTGCATATGAGAGATGTGGAGGAGTAGCCCACAAACAAGGTTAACCGAGTCAGACAGTCTCTCTAGTCTCCAGTGACTAGATTCCTCTTGTGCAGGTGTGTGGCCAGGCATGTTATACTTTTGACATTCCCTATTGACTGAACTAGTAATGAAAGTATATGTGTTGACTGAATGTCTTCTGCCACATTAATTGCCCTGGTGAAGGCAACTAACTCAAGTTTAATATGTTTTTTCAATTTTCAGTGCTTCATTGACTTCACTTGTGAGGTACTGGTAGAGAAGGCAAAGTCCCTGAAAAGAGTGGGATGTGGAGAGGAAGGGGGAAACAAATCAAGCACCAGTCCTGTAAGATTTGGTTCCTCATCAGAGATTTATTTATTTCACACAGTATTCAGAACCTTAGTTTCTTGTTCAGTTCTGTTGCAGTATCAGATATGGCAAGACTGCTTTGACTCAAACCGGTCAAGTACTAATTCCTCCTACACTGATTTGAAAAGCTGAAATTACAGTCTTTTACTCTGATAGTAATTTAACTTCTCTTTATGACTGTACAGTAAACCCTTGGTATGCTTTAGACAGAATAATAGTATTGTTAAGATTTAGAATTTAGTTATCTTTCCTCATAGGTCTCAACATACCTTGAGAATAAAAAAAAACTGTCACAGCTGTGCATTGCAGTAAATAACTAATGGATGCTACAGGCTGTCATAAACATGTACAGTACTTTAGAATATCTGTTAATTGTTTGATTATTAACACATTCATGCCACAAATGTAACAGTATACATTACAGATTTTGGTAAACTCATGAAGCAGAGGTGTTGTGGACAGTTTCCAAACCATGGATATAAGCAAATTAATGACCTGTTAGACTCCATAATAGTTAATTTACTATTTACTAACTCTTCTTTGTTAAATATATTTTTGATATCAAGCATAAAAGTGACTCGCTCAAGGTCATTCTGCCAGCATGTGTCAGAGCAAGGCAAGAATGCAAGTTTCCAAGTTTTGCCAGGTCTCTCTTGTACAGGCCATTTGTATATATATTTTAAATTCCCTTCCCTCTCCACCTCTGTGTTTTAATGGCTCAGGACAACCATCTAAAGTTGGAAACTGAGCCAGAAGCAGAGGGAGTTCTATCAGCAATAGGGTCAGCTGCTTGTCCTAGTCTGGAACACCTCTCAAAGCTGAAGTGCATATAGGTAGGTAGATGGAGTAACACACATCCTGAAATTAGGTTTTGTATTTAAGTAAGTGCTGTAAAAAAGTGTAGCTGAACTGTGGTTTTCATTGCTTTGGAAGTTCTGTTTGCTATCTGGTTTGATGTGTGTTTGTTTGTGATGATCTCAATCAAACAGTGAAAAGTTTGGCATAAAATTGTAGAATTCAGCTGCCAGGTAACATTCTACACAACTATATTTGCACAACTGTGGAGTACAACTGTGTAATGTTACACACACACACTACTTCATTGTTATTACAAAATTAGTTTATCCACACTGAACTGTGCCTTCACTCAATCCTTATTCATGGGCAAGACCTGCTGAAGACAATAGAAAAGGATCTGAAAAGAAAATAAGTAAGGGTGTCAGAATCGGGCTAATGGTTGATTGGCTTTCTCAGAATTGTAAGCTGGCAACATAAATTACTGCAATAATATGAAAAGAGTCAAGATTATATTAGTTCCTATAATACCAGTAAAGCTTATTCAGAACACGCATAAATTAAAATTTGAAAACCTACTTTGCAGGGAATATTGTGCTTTTTCTTTCGGTGTAGATCTCTCCAGAAAATAATTTCTTTAGTCATGGCCAAACACGCATCATTACATGGTGGAGCGTATATCCCTTCTTGGATTCAGTGATTTTCAGGTTTTGTGTTTCCAGGGAAAAAAGTACATGATGAGAGGATATCTGATGTCTTTTAAAAAAAAAAAAAAATATATATATATATATATATAAAATATATATAATTCTAGTTGAAATTTATTTTGCATGAGAAAAATGAGATCTGGAGATTTTGTTCTCCAACAGCTATGCAAAAACTGTGATCTTCAGGGCAAAGGGAAGGTCAAGGTTTGCATCTCAAGAAAAGCTTATATTTCCAGGGTCCTAGTTGTTATGTTTCGTACATACTCAAAGCTTCATTTTCCTATTTACTACATTAAAATGTTCTATTTTCTATCATTTTTTGTCTTGTTCTTCCTAAAGGTAGAGGGGATTGTGCTAAGAGATATTTAACATGTAGTTCGCTTTTCTACCTGTTCCAGCTTATTCCCAAAGATGTGCTTCTTATGGTGTTGACCAGATTTCTTGGAAAGTGTGACAGCTGCAAACAGAATCAACAACGTCTGGGCAGGGGTGTGGCCAGGGCAAAGCTCAGTTACGGGCTGAAGCTCTCTATATTTTCCATAATATACAATAAAATTTTCTCCTGCTGCTAGAAGTAACACTTCTCTGCAGTGGCATTCTGAACATGTATTATGTCCTGATTAGGAAATTGAATTCTTCACTGAGTTCTCCTACTTACTTGATGGGATTCTTTTAAGTTTTGTTTATTTCCAAACTGGAGAAACACTGGGTTGGTGAATGCAGAATTCAGGTGCACCTGCCTGAGTTCCATGACCTAGAAAATAGGTCTGATTTGTTTTCAAAGTTTAGCAAAACAAAGCTATTGAAAAGTGAAAGTATTAACACAGACTTTTCTGATGATGTGTACAACATGCCCTTCTTCAGAAAATCTTTTGTGTTGGAAGAATGTCTAGTAGGTCACGTAGCCCTCTTTGCGTAGTGCAACATTCTTTTCATCATTCGTGCAGTGCCCTGTGTGATGACTGTCATGTTCAGCTTTCCATAGCTCTGGGGGCTCTGGCGTACTTTTCAATTGCCTGCCTCTTCTTAGAGTTGTAAGGACTTGTTCTTTGCTCAAGCTTACCCTTCTAAATATGATTTTAATATCAATCTTAATGGGACAATGCAAGTACTTGGTCTTTTGTCTTTTAATTCAGTTAATTTTTTTATTGTTCTTTGTGTTGCAGTTATTTTTGAGAATCAAAAAATTATTTAAGTTGATCTTTTTATGTTATGTTTATGTTTTTAAGTTAATCTTCTGGTTTCTAGTTGCTGAGTTGCTTCTCTGTGTGGTTTCACTGCTCTAGATATTTTAAAAATCAATTGTTTCAAGCAGACAGGTTTGAATTAAGTTAAATTATTTAAGTGATTTATTTGATTTCCATCTGCTGTTTCTGACAATACATGTGGTTATAATGTAATAATTTTCAAATCAGTGTCAATGGTGTTAGTTCCTGCTCAAATTGCTACCTCTCCCTTGCTTCAGATATTCTGTAGGGTTTCTTATTCTGTGATTTTAATTTTAGACTAGTCTTTCTTCGGTGAAATAGTTCATAATTTTCTTGCTGACAAAATTTTATTTTGATATATTGTAGGACAAACTTAAATTATTTCTGACAACAGTATATTTAACTGAATCACAGCTTTGTGCTCAGATAACCTGCACTGCAGTAGGTAATCATATTTTTATAATACAGAAACAATTTCATACATGTCATGAAAAGGCCACAAATACACTGTTGCTATAATTCAAAATGTATTGACTATAATGCCAGAGATGTTTTTATAATAAATTGGGGTATTAATCTTTCTATGTATTGAAAGAAAATGGAAATTTAAGGCCAGCTCCACACATTATTAAAAGACATGAAGGGAAAAAAGGTCCAAAATCTCGGCAACTGGGATACCAATGCTGAAGATGATAACCATACTGCTGAAGAGTGACAAAACTGTGTGAGAAAGTTTTCAGACGTGAGAGTTTAAGGGTTTTATGGTGTCAAACCTTGTGTCCCTTGATGGAGTATTTTACTTCAGAACTCAGTGTAGAAAAAACCCAGTTTGAGTCCCAGGTCCAAAAATTCCTTTGGATTTGAATTTTCCCAGCTGAGCTGATATATAGGATATTAAAGGGAACAAGTTATGGGGACAGAAGCAGAAGACAGGAAATAATTAGATTATGTGGTATGTTACCTCAGCTTGATGACAAAACACAATTTGTCTTCCATTCATTCCTAGAGAATGACTGCCAGTTTCTGATTCAGTGGGAATTCAGTTTAATACTTTCCTATAAATCACAAGAAATAAATGAAGATACTGTATTGATATACATTCTTAAGTGTTGCTATATTTGAAATTGCTATATATGTATGTAGAGTTGTATTATAGGTAGGTATGAATCAATATATGCTGTAGAAGTGTCTTCCAGGTTAACACTGTAAAAAGAATTTTCCTTTTGCTCCATTTAATTTCTTCTCCTTTATAATAGTATAGAGTAAAAGAAGAAACTGAGCTATTTTCTGTTTTCCAGACAGCTATAATGGGAGAAAAAGAGAGGTGATATTCTGAGTACATGTAGTGGGGAAAACTGAGATCGTAGGAGCAATCATCCAGACGTGAAACAGTCTTGAAATGGTGAGCCAGGGATAAATTATCTGGACCTCATAATTTACTTCCAGGATCATAGTGATTGAGAGGTCATCCACAAGCTGTGCTGCTTGTTTATGATTTACCTTCCCTTTCAGATGACACAGTGTTGTAGGCTGGCACCCTTGTTTTCTGCATAGACCTAGACCTACATACTTTTTTTCCTACATAGAACTAGTTCAAGTCAGAAGTAACAGTTCAAATAAAACAGATAGATCTTTATGTAATTTTAAATAGTCTCTGTGGCTTCCATACATTTCCATCAATGCCATGCTTCATTTTTGTGAGGCATTTTTGAAGTTGCAGGTTTTCTTGTTCACTGGTAATAATCCACCAACAGGAAGAGCTAAAAGAATGAAAAATTGAGATAGCAGTGTTGCTGGTATCCAGCAGCTTACTATTACACACTTTTGTCTCCAGTTCAGCACCTCACCTCTGCAGAATAAGATTTTTTAAAAAAAACACCTTAAGCAGAGTACTCCTCTTCCTCTTTTTCCTCCACTTCTGAAACATCCTCAGTTTGAGAGAAGAAGAGATACCATTGACACAGCTTTTGGGAAAAGTACCCTGGAGCTGTGCACTTTATCCTACTGGGCACTGCTCAGCAGGGGAGGTTGTTCTCAGTCTTAAGCAGCAGTGATGTGGATGGGAGGAGATTGATTATAGCAAGAGATGAGAGGCATGCATTTACATAGGCTCTTTTTCCCTACCACCTCTCCACTCTCCAGCGAGCACGGGTTTATTTTAGCATTGGCCTTCTGAAGCAGGATTAATTTTCCCCTGAATAGGTCAGGCTGGGACAGAGCCAGGATCCATGGCCTTTCATAGCTTGGGTGACTCAGGAAGCCAGAGATACCTACTAAGTAGACAAGGCCTCTAACTGCTGGGCCTATGCCCAGTGCAAGAGAAGTATCCTGGAATAACCTTTCTGATAAACAGCAGAAGAGTCCGCATGGGGTCTTTTTCCAAAGGCTGGTGCCAGGCTGAACCAGGCTGTAGGGCTGCCCTCTGCTGTTGGGATTCGGGAAAAACGTAAAAGTCAGTGACAACATCCAGGAAAACGGTAACGAAGTATAACCAGGAAAGCAGTAGTAGGTGAATACGTGCTGTCAACCTCTTGTTTCATACAGTGCTTCAGCCAGTTGAAGTGTGCCCTCATATCTTCACTAGCAGGTCCGTTTGTAGCAACAGAAATAGCTGGTAGTTTTCTTGGGTTTTAGCAGTGGTAGAGTTCTTGTGGCTCTGCAAAGCAACTTGCAAAGCAACCCAGAAATCATGCTTTCTGACATGCTTGTTTGTGTCTCAGTGTGCACAGGAGATGCAGAGGAAGGAATTTCCATCACTAATTCAGATTTTAAAATCTTTTTTATTTCTTCTAATTATGTAGAATTATGAAATTCCCTACTTACAAGTATTTTGCTGATTGACAGGAAGCTGAAGAGGAGCCAGCAGTGTGCCCAGGTGGCCAAGAAGGCCAATGGCATCCTGGCCTGGATCAGGAACAGTGTGGCCAGCAGGACAAGGGAAGTGATCCTTCCCCTGTACTCTGCGTTGGTGAGGCCACACCTTGAGTATTGTGTTCAGCTCTGGGCCCCTCAGTTCAGGAAGGACATTGAGGTGCTGGAGCAGGTCCAGAGAAGAGCAACGAGGCTGGTGAAGGGACTTGAACACAAGTCCTATGAGGAGAGGCTGAGGGAGCTGGGGTTGTTTGGTCTGGAGAAGAGGAGGCTCAGGGGTGACCTCATCACTCTCTACAACTACCTGAGAGGAGGTTGTAGCCAGGTGGGGGTCGGTCTCTTCTCCCAGGCAATCAGCAGTAGGACAAGAGGGCACGGGCTTATGCTCTGCCAGGGGAGGTTTAGGTTGGATATTAGAAAGAAGTTCTTTACAGAGAGAGTGATCAGGCATTGGAATGGCCTGCCCAGAGAGGTGGTGGATTCACCGTCCCTGGAGGTTTTTAAGATGAGGCTGGATGTGGCACTGAGTGCCATGATCATCAGTGGGGTTGGATCAAGGGTTGGACTTGATGATCTCGGAGGTCTCTTCCAACCCAGTTAATTCTATGATTCTATCTGATACAAAGTTGTGTAGAAAGCTACAGACATGTTGTATAAGCACCTGATGTCTGAAGGGGTGTAGGACCTTTTCTCCTGTAGCTAATTTGTGAGCTAGTGTGGAAGCATGTGGAAGTAATCTGATGTTTCTATCAGAACTAGAGGGAAGTGCCATCAGGGTATTTCCTAGCCCTGATGCAGTACACCTCTGCTAGACCTGGAGCATGTGTAGTAGCCCTGAACACTTGCACACCTGCAGATATCCCAGCGGCTGTAAGAACTGTGTTTAGGGTTCTGTTCTGGAACATAACAGCTGTATCTTGACTGACTGCATGGCCCTTCTGAAGTAAATGAGCTTGTGGTATGTGATTAAGGAAACTCGCTGCTTCTCTTTGCAAAACAGGTTTTAATGTTAAGGCTCGATTCTCATCTTAATTTTTGTATCTTTGAATGTGATAGGCATGTTTCACTTTTTGATACTGATTTTAAAATCCTTGCTTTCAATTTCTTTGTCACAAACATCCTGCCCCAACTGTGTGGGGTTTTGAGTTAGCTATCAATGTGCCTTAGAGAACACAAGTGATGGCTCCCTTTCAAAGAAAAGAAACATCTCACTTTCTGACTAATTAAAAAAAAATCTATATAAAAGCTAAATAAAGGCAAAATTGACCAGAATCCTGCAACTAATGTTGTACAGTGATAAATAAAAGCAACTGGAGTCATTAATCCTGTCAGCAACAAATTGTTGTATAGCGTGCAGAGGTTTGTTGTGACTTGTTTACACAGGCAGGTAATGAATGATAAAATAAATCAAACCTATCAAAATATGTGAGTTAATTAATGGTTTTTAGAAATGGGATATCCCTTTGGGAAGTGGCTGTAACAGTGGAGCTATGAAACTGTTTATGAATGTCCCCTGCCTTCAGGAATGAATACTTTTTAATTCTCTTAGAGAAAACCTTTTCTAACATTCAGGCCTGCAACCTCAAACTGAACTTTAAAGGTGAAGACTTTTCTGCTTCTGTTGTAAACAATAATCAGACCATAACTCTGTGTCTGTTTTGGGGAAAACAGAGAAGCAATATAAGTACCTGTTTAACCTTCTTTTCCACTTGGTGGAAACTCTTCAGTTTTGGGATCATTTGGCTTGATTTCCCAGGCTCTTGATAGCAGAAGAGACTATACCACTGTCTGGCTGAGATGCTGATTTGTACAAGCAATATTCACAACTTAGCCAAGGTGGCAAGAGGACCTGGTTGACTAGAAGGGATCTTACTGCTCTCCACAGAGCCCAGGTGTTTGGTTGGCTAGTATTTGATTCTACTATGTCAGCATTTACAGCAGAAAACAATCCTAATGGAAGATAAAAACCAGATCAGTTTTGCTTCTAGTCTCAGAATTTGAGGATATGGGCTGAAA